GCCGCCCGAAAAAACCTCAGCATCTGGGAGAGTTCCCCTCCCGGCTCGCGTTTCCCTCTGGAGGGCGCATCGGACGCGGATATCGGAGCGAACGCGCAGCTCTCCTACAAACTCAGCCCCAACGAGCATTTCGCTCTGGAAGTGAAATCTAAAGACGAAAAGAAAACATCTGTAGCTCTGGTATTAACGAAGGCTCTGGACCGGGAGGCGGTGGCTGAGCACCGTTTGCTGCTGACGGCGAGTGATGGGGGCAGACCGTCGCTATCGGGCACGATGGAGCTCGTGATCTCCGTGCTGGATGTGAATGACAACGCGCCCGAGTTCAACCAGTCGGTCTACAATGTGAAAGTTCCCGAAAATGTGACCGTAGGGACGCTACTTCTCCGGCTAACAGCGACGGACAATGACGAAGGAATGAATAAGGAAATAAGTTACGGCTTTTCCCAGTCTATATCGGACCACGTGAAAGATTTGTTCATGATGGACCCGAAATCAGGAGAATTAAGAATCATAGGCAGGCTGGATTTCGAGGATGTACAGTCATATGACCTGGAAATAGAGGCAAGTGATAAGGGAAACGCTCTGCTAACAGGTTACTGCAGCGTGGAGTTGGAGGTGTTTGACGTGAACGACAACGCGCCGGAGGTGTGGGTGACGTCGCTGTCGGTGCCGGTGGCCGAGGACGCGCCACTGGGGACGGTGGTGGCGCTGCTGAGCGTGTCGGACCGTGACTCGGGGTCGAACGGGCGCGTGCGGTGCGCGGTGTGGCCGTCGTCGCCGTTCGGTCTGGTGTCGACGTTCGAGGGCTCGTACTCGCTGGTGCTGCGTGAGGCGCTGGACCGGGAGCGTGTGTCGGAGTACGAGGTGGAGGTGCGTGCGGAGGACGGCGGGACGCCGCCGCTGCGCGCCCGGCGCGCCCTGCGGGTGCCGGTGTCAGACGTGAACGACAACGCGCCGGCGTTCGCGCAGGCCGTGTACACGGTGCTGGCGCGGGAGAACAACGCGGCGGGCGCGGAGCTGGCGCGCGTGTGGGCGCGGGACCCGGACGAGGCGGGCAACGGGCGCGTGAGCTACTCGTTGTGGGAGGGCGCGTCGGCGTCGGGGTCGCGCTCGGCGTCGAGCTACGTGTCGGTGGACGCGGAGAGCGGGCGTGTGTGGGCGCTGCAGCCCTTGGACTACGAGGAGCTGCAGGTGCTGCAGTTCGAGGTGCGCGCGGTGGACGCGGGGGAGCCGTCGCTGAGCGGCAACGCCACGGTGCAGCTCTTCGTGGTGGACGAGAACGACAACGCTCCGTCGCTGCTGCCGCCTGCGGGGGGCGGCGCGGGCCCCTGGGCTGGCGGCGCGGGAGAGTCGTCGTCATCTTCGTCGGGGTGGTCGTTGTGGGCGTGGGCGTCGTGGGGTTCTCCTGCGGGGCAGGTGGTGGCGAAGATCCGTGCGGTGGACGCGGACTCGGGCTACAACGCGTGGCTGCGCTACGAGCTGCAGGAGGCGCGGGGCAAGGGCGCGTTCCGCGTGGGTCTGTACAGCGGCGAGGTGAGCACGGCGCGGGCGCTGGAGGAGGCGGACGGGCCGCGGCAGACGCTGCTCATCGTGGGCGAGTACGAACTGGTGGCTGGTGGTGGCCATCTGCGCGGTGTCGAGCGTGTTCCTGCTGGCCGTGGTGCTGTACGCGGCGTCGCGGTGGTCGCCGCGGGCGTCCGTGCAGTCGGGGCCCGGTCCGACGACGCTGGTGTGCGCCAGCGAAGTGGGGAGCTGGTCGTACTCGCAGCGCCAGAGCCGGAGCGTGTGCGTGGCGGAGGGCGCGGGCAAGAGCGACCTCATGGTTTTCAGCCCCAACTTCCCGCCGCCCGCGGGCTCCACACCCAAAGAGACGCCGCAGGATCCCGCTGCTCTCTTGGACACGGTCAGTGGTGCTTTCTTTTCTTCGCCCTCCCTTTCCCCGTTCTTGCCCTCCCCGGAGGCACCTTGCCCTCCTTTGGCCCTGTATTTCGTGGCGTTTTCTGGATTCGGGCTCTTCCCTGGGCAGCTGTCTGGGGCCGACACTTGTAACATCCGTGATATATACATTTTGGCAGTGCTGTCTGTTGTGCCTGTTTTCGCTTGCAAATGCTCCCCACTTTCGTAGCGGGTGTGTGCTTTGAGAAGGAGTGTAACTTCTGGATGGTAAGTCTCCACGGCCTCAGAGATCCTCACACAAAGTTAATTCAGAGGTTTAGTGAAACCTGTGGAGAGCCCCTTTTCGTGCACGGGCCGGCGGGAACAGGAGGTTTGACTTTCTTTTTTCAGTTTCAAATGAAGAAAAAAAAAAAAGAAAGAAAGGAGGTTCGTGGTGAAGGATGCGCTGTGCATCTTTCTCATGCAAATATGCTCGTTGTAGAAGACTCGGCCCTTGTCAAGGATAAGTGATTGCCTTCATTAACTGTATTACCTGCCTCTACTGAATGTGTTTATTCCCTACGGCATTTACCTTTCTTTGAGTGTGAATGGGCCATGCGAGGGAGGTGCGGCTTGTAATTAGCACTGATAGCTCCATGTTTGATATTCTCGGGAGTGAGTGAATGAGAGAGGGAGGCCGGTGGGGCTCGGTAGGATCCCATCTGTGAACTTCTTCCCTAGTGCTATCCTTGGAACACCTTTTTCTTTTCCTCCCCTCCCCTCTCCTCCCTCCCCTCCGCTCCCCTCTCCTCTCCTCGAACTTTTCCTGTTGAGGTGTTTATAGCGGTGTTGCGGGAGAATCTTCTTATCAGCAGTGGTGCTGGGATTTTTTTCATCAGATTGTGCTGTTATCGAGGCTTTGATGTTGTGACCTTCTTTTCAGACATGCTTTCAAGCGAGACTTATGGCCTTTCCCCTGTTGCTATCAAAGCCAGCAGACCCAATCTTCTGATTGCAGCTGTTGTTATCCACTTTCTTCAAATACTTGTAAACATAGATATGATTCCCCACGGCCACCCTGCACCCTCCCATTCTCTCTTCTTCATGCTGAGCAGGCCCAGGTGTCTCAGCCTCTGCTTACAGAAGAGGTGCTGCAATCCCTTAATCATACTGTTGGGTTTCTCGGACACAAGGAGCACTTTGCTGGCTCATGGTGAACCAGCCTTCCCAGGTTCTTCTCTGTGGCTGCTCTTCAGCAGATCAGTCCAAATTTCTACAGATGTAAGTGTTTATTTCTCCATAGCTGAAGGACCTTACACTTGCCCTTAATGAAGTTCCCACTACCGCATCTCTCCAGCCTGCTGAGGTCACTCTGAATGGCAACAAAAACACCTGGTGTATCTATTGTTCAGTAGTTTTTGTTCCTTTGTTGTAAATCATGAAATGTATTTTGCTGGTTTATTTGCTTGAATATGCATATTTGGTATGATCCATATATATCTGTATGTGTGTATATATGTGTGTGTATAAATATATATACATGTGTATATGTATATGTATTCTTAGTGACGTTGTTACTGTGAGGCTAAGGATCTGCAGAAGAATATGTTAGCCTCGTAGTGGGAAAATGAGGGTACAGGTTCTTGTCCAGCAATTTCCTGGCACCAGGCAATGGTGCTGAATGAGGCCTGAATGATCATGAGCAGTGCAAAACTGCCTGAGGGACGTGGAGATGTTGGGGAGGACGTGCCATGTGTCTACCTAAAAAGAAGGAACGCTTTGAGGAGAGCCTGAGTCGAGAGTTGTTCAGGGATGTCTGTCCATGTTTGTTTTGCAGTTACAAGAGCCTGGAGTTGGAGGCCTTTCTAATCTTGGCAGAGTACTTAGTGCAGAAAAGCACTCTCATCCTTTAATTGTATGAATCTTCCTGACAAAGAAGTCCTGAAGGTTTTCCCTCTGCTAGTAGGTGTTCATGAAGCCATGGAAGGACATCGGGCATCCACGGTGGATGGAGAGGGAAACCTTAGTAAGGGAAGTTTTCATGGACTCAGAAGGCCTTAAACTAACAGAGTTTGGGAAGGGCATGAGGTGCTCTAGACTGGAGCCATGGAGACAGCCCCTTTTCATGCACAGGCCTGCCTGAAAAGCATCTTGACTGTCATGCTGTAACTGCAAGTGGAAAAGAAGGTATGGAGTCTTATTAGGAGAGGGAAGAGGGAGAGTGGTGCCTCCCAGTTTTAATGTCACCCTTCTCTAGGCATTTGCTTGGTGGACTACATTGAGCAGGACTTTCCAGTTAAAGATTCCCTGGATTTGTCAAATCTCTGTGGAGTCTGTCCACACCTTGACCATCTCTGTCTGGTGTTCTGTCTCAGGAGATGGATCACTGTGTCACAGTGTAACCAAGGTAGTGTTTGTGACACGATTTCCTTGCTGTGATGGTATGTTCTTTGACAACCAAGGAGGCTTAAGAAACAGCTGCGCTTTCCACTGTCTCAAATGCAGCCTGTTCATACTGAACCATGAGTGATGAATCCTTCCCATGCAGACATGTTCATTGTGGAAATCAAGAAGGAGAACTGAGAGTTTTTGCCTAACTTTTACTCATTTTTACTTCTTGTACTTACTTTTACTTCTTAGACCCCACCTGTGAGAAGAGGGAGAAAATCACAAATGTTTCCTATGTAGTCTACTGTTGTAACAGCCATATTTCACAGCCATTCTACATCTTTGGTTGTTATCTTGCATATTTTTTTTGCTTGTGTATGTTTTCCTCTGTGGGGTTTGTATGACAGTGCTACAGACTTCCCTGTCTGGGGTTTCATATGGTTTTAATTCATGCTTAGTATGTTACCTAATGTCATTTTACTGGCAGGCCTCTTAAGCTAAGCTTTGCTGTAACAAAATGCTGACACTGTGTGTACTTTTTTCCATTGTCTCTGTATTACTTGGACTTAGTGGGATGAGTGGAAAAGCTCCTGTTCTGTCAAGGAAGAAGAAAGAGCTTGAATTACATTGAAATACAAAGCCTTGATTCCAGGACATTGCTAACATAACTTGTTCTTTACAGGGCAGTGGCAGAAGAGCAAATCTCAAGGTAGGTGCAAGATATAGGAAAGATTGGTAAGAGGAAAGTATGTTGCTCTGTCATCTGGGGGACATTGGACAAGGACTTGCATGGAAGTTTGCACACATTGCATTGCATTGTCAAGGACTTGCACAGCAGTGGAAGTTTGGCACTCGTGGCTCCTGACTATGCCCATTAATATTTCCCTTGGTGGCTAGGCCTTGCTTGGTTTCTTGAGAGTACAGATAAATGTACTCTGATAATAGCTTGGTGACTGAGGGTGAGCATGCGTGTCCCAGCTGGGACACCGTTTCCGCCACTAGCACCAGCCCCTTCCCCTGTTGCCAGCCTGATTTAAGAGATGTTTCAGTATTGGTGTGCAAGATGCAGACTCTTTTAATACGCTGGCAGTAAGATTTTGGAAGGCTTCAGAGACAGTGTGGACAGCATTTTCCTTCTGTATTGAAATGCTCTGAACTTCGGGTTCTGAACTCCTGGCCTTGTTCTGTGTGTGGGTGCCTGCCTGGAATGCTAAACTGGAGTTGGTAATGAATCATATCTTCCTGGAAATGAATCATTGGCACTTCTTCCTTTTGTAAAAGGAAGAATACTAGATCCTTGTTCCTCTCCTACATTTTCTTTGACATTCTCTGAGGATTTCCCTGTCAATGTGTGTCCAGGTTGATCTGCAGAAGTAATGAGCTCCTGGCATTGCTAGGACCATCCCTATGGATTGTATGTGAGGCTGGTAAAGGCTGGATGATTCTATTATGGCCTTTTCCTGGTAGACATGTTCCTTGTGATATGCATTCCTTTGTGCGATACTTTCTGATGATGAAGGGGAGTGCAAGAAAATGCTGCACTGCATGTGTTTCTCAAAGCCAGCTTTGCCAGAAGGAATGATCTGTGCCTGCTGTTAGCAGTGATCATTCAGAAATCATTCTCCTGTTGTATGCGTTGTGCAGGCCTTGGTCTTTATTGTGAATGGAGGCTGAAAGTACTCTCATGTTTGCTCCATGCTGCAGTGGCTCTTGAGTCCACCAACTCATGCAGAAGAGACAGAGGGAGACAGACTTCCCTGTCAATCAGTTCCGGAGTGTCCTTCAGAATCCTCAATACTCAGGACCTCATGTATGACGTGAGGAGAGCGGTTTTTGTAGAATCCTTAAGGTTGGAAGGGACCTTTAGAGATCATCTAGTCCAAACCTCCTGCAGACGTAAGGTCACTTAGACCATGTGACACAGAGAGGCATCCAAGTGAGTTTTGAACATCTCCAGAGAAGGAGACTCCACAGCCTCTCCTGGCAACCTGTTCCAGTCCTCTGTCACCCTCACTGTTAAGAAATTTTTCCTTAAGTTCCTGTGGAACTTTTAGTGCTTCAGTTTGTGGCCATTTCCTCTAGTCCTCTTGGTGGCCACCACTGAAAAGAGGTCCTCTTCCCTCCCTCTCTTGAGGTATTTGTATACACTGATTAGATCCCTTCTCAGCCTTCTCTTCTCCAGGCTGAACAGGCCTAGCTCTCTCAGCCTTCCCTCATATGGCAGATGTTCCAGGTCCCTGATCATCCTTGCAGCCCTGTGTTGGACTCTCTCCAGCAGCTCCACATCCCTCTTGTACTGTGGGGCCCAGAACTGGACACAGTACTCCAGATGTGGCCTCACCAGGGATAACTAGAGAGGAAGGATCATATGCCTCGACCTGCTGGAGACACTCTTCTTAATGCAACCCAAAATCCCATTGGCCTCCTTGGCTACGAGGGCACTCTGCTGCCTCGTGGTCCACTTGTCATCCACCATGATGTCCAGGTCTTTCTGTGCAGATCTGCTCACCAGAAGGTCAGTCCCCAGTCTGTAGGGATGTCTGGGGTTATTCCTCCCCAGGTACGGGACCTTGCATTTGCCCTTGTTGAATTTCATAAGGTTTTCTACCGCTCAGTTGTCCAGATCCCTCTGGATGGTAG